GGGTCCCCGGAACGCCGGCTTGGATCCTGCCCCACTCCGTCCCGCCCCGCCCCGCCCCGCTGTAGAAATGGGGCGCGCCACCTCCTCTTCATCCCCCAGCCGCGCCCGCCCGGGCGCAGAACTGGAGAGGGAGCTGGACCCGAGCGGCCGTCGCGGGCGCAGCTTCGAGCCTGGCGGGAGCCACGTCGCAGTCCCTGCTCCCGGGACGCCGCAGCCGCAGGTCAGGTCCCCGAGGGCTTCTCTGCGCCGCGGATCTGGGCGCTGGGGAGGCAGGGCGGGGAGGAGCTCCAGCGGCTCGACTGCTGCAGAGTGTGCCCCAGCTCCGCCACATTTTTGAGGGAAGGGGAATTCAGCCTGACCCTCCTGCGCCTCCCTTCCTAGCCTGAGGCTACAGTGGGCCCCTGTTAGGGCCTATCCTCCACCCCACCAAGGTTTCGGCAGACGGGATGCTTTGGGATCTGGGATGTTGGAAGGCCTGGTTTGCTTGGGCCTGGGGGAATCTCTCTGGAGCTCCTCCTGGCACCAGCACATCATGCCAGGGAGGGAATTTGGAGACTTCTAGAGACCAGGCTTTCCTCTTCAGTCTCTTCCCTTGGGACCAAGTTGGAATCCCTAGGGCCTTGATTCATCTTTCCTCACCCCAGAATCACCACTGTGGGACTTTGCCGGAGCCCGCTGGCAGAGTCAAATGGTCCTGAGGAAGCGGTGAGGATAGAGAAAAGACAGACACAAAAAAGATGGGATCAGGAGGACTGCAGCTCAGGACTGCTGCAGCTTCGAGTTTATTTTCCAAGCTCAGTTTTTACCTGCGCTGTTGTTTTTGCTGAATAGCACCCCTCCCCGCATTCCTTCCCCTTGCGAGATACACAGTAGTTCTTTCCAGGCTGCACAAACACACCTTCAGCGTAGACATCCTGCGTCCTGCAGGAGCTCAGACCTTGGTAACTACCTTTGTCTCGGCTTCTAATGGGAACTTTTTGGGGAGGATTGAGTCCTTGGCTTGGTATGTGGCTTGACTGTCCCTTAACCCTTCAGGCTGGGGCCAGCTTCCTAATAAGCCTTTCTAGAATTTACGGCCGCAAGCTAAATTAGTATCACCTTGGTGCCTCAAGGTTTGGGTCAGGGAGCAGGAGAGCAGATCTGCAGCTCACCCAGGCAGCTCCTCTGTGCCTGGGGCCACAGCAGCTCACCCACATCTCCCAGGGAGCAGGGGAGCACATCTGCAGCTCACCCAGGCACTGTGCCTAGGGCCACAGCAGCTTACCCACATCTCCCAGGGAGCAGGGGAGCACATCTGCAGCTCACCCAGGCAGCTCCTCTGTGCCTGGGGCCACAGCGGCTCCCCACAGGACTTCATGGCTGGAAAAGTTGCCATGTCGGCCCAAGAATGAGGCAGGCCTGGTTCTGCCACCCCCTGAGGCTTTGCAGCCCTTTTCTGAGTTGTGCCTTCCTTTCGAGGTTGGTGAGAAGTTACGGAACCAATGTTGCTGTGTAAATCCTTGTGGCTACCCACCCACAAGGAGTGTTTACCTTCTACTTCAGGCTGTCCCCACAGCCTGGCCTGGGGGCTCACTGCATGCTTTTCCAGGTTGAGTGGTACACTGGTGGACATTGGTGTACCAAGGGTCCAGAAGTCAGCGTGGTAAGGGGGAAGGACATCGTAGATCAGGAAAGGACCACTGTGGCCACTTCAGCACCAGCCTTATGGCTTCCACCACCCAGAGCTCTGAGCTTCACAAACTATCAAAGGCCAGCCTCTGGACAGTCTCTGGGATGGAGTGGGTAGAACACTAAGCTTTTGAGTTATGACAAGACCTAGGTTTTTTCATTTCTTTAATGTGAGATGGCGAGTGGGGATGAGGTCACCCTCTGGGTTCCCTCCTCTGTGACCAGGCAACCTGTCCAGGATCGCTGAGGGTTTGACTAGAGAAGAGGCTTTCCATGAGCTCCCACCTTCCTCCATTAGATAGTCCCCCAGCCCCCTCCACCCCCATCTCCACATTGCCTTTAGGAGGTCTTAACTGGCCTTGGGTACTCCCTGTGCCACTCAGGAGTTCCAACCTGAGTCCACTATTGCCTCTGTTTCCTTGTTATCCCTGGGTGATTTGTTGGCTTGGGGAGAGAGAGCAGGAAGTCTGCGTGGCTCAGTGGTTGAGCATCAACCTATGATCCAGGAGATCTTCGTTAGATTCCAGTCAGGGCACATGCCTAGGCTTGATCCCAGCAGGGGGCATGCAGGAGGCAACCAATCAATGACTTTCTCATCACTGATGTTTCTCTTTCTCTCCTCCCTTCCTCTCTCTGAAATCAATAAAAACATATTTTTTAAAAGAAAAACCCAGGAACCCCTTTGAGTGGACTCAGAGGAGCCAAGCTCCAGGCCACCCTCTCTATATCGTATTTACATAACACTTGCCACTTTTCAATTTCACATTTGATTCTTGCAACCATGCTAGGAGGTAGACAGTTTAGATACGTTTACTCCCATAGCTGGAAGAGGAAACCAAGGTCCAGACCAGATAAGTGACCTAAGATCCACACAGTGGACTGGCAGTGGCACCATATCCTGGCCTCCAAACAAGGCTCTTTCCAAGGAAAACACACTGCAGTCAGCAAGGTTTTCCAATTACTCTTAGACAGTAAAGTCCAGGAAGGTGGGGATTTCTGTTTGCTTTGTTCATCACTTAATCTCCAGTGCCTAGGTCCATGCCCACTATGCAGGGGGTGCTCATCAAGTATTTGTTAAATAAATGAAAGATTCTTGGGAAGGAGGGAGTCTCCTGTTCTTTGCTTCTAACTATGGCCTTGGCCCAGCCCCATGCCTTGATTCACAGGGACCTGCAGAGGCCCTGGCCTGACTTCCCTCAATTGCTGGGGCTCATTCGCTCTATGCTCTGTCTTTTTCTAAGGTCTCCATTTTAACTATTCACCATTTTCATCATGGACTTCCACCTGGCTCTGGCATGGACACTCCTGGTTGGTCCATGGATGCCCACGGGTGAGTATAGATTGGAGGAGAACCATAGATAGGAGCAGAGGAACCCACCATCTTCTGGGCTTCCCCAAGGACAGAAGCTGCATCACATTAATCTCTGCCCCTACTCCCTAGCTAACACAGTAGCCTGCACATGGCAGGTGCTCATTTCCAGCTTATTGACTAGATGGATGGAAAATGAAATATTTCCCCAAATATAGAGAATTAGGGAGCCTCGAATGCTGTGGAAGCACTTCCTATTTCATTACTTATGGTCTGGGGACCCCTCTGTCTCTCCCCTACCTTCTCTCTTTCTTCATAAAGTAAGGACCCCTGACCCCAAATAGGAAAAGATTGATTAGACACAGAGAATAAAGGATCTTGGGGTCAGATTGGACTGAAAGCTGACTTCCCCAAAGGGAAGTCACCAATGTTCCAAAACAATATGATTTAAAAAAACAAAAAACAATCCAGAAGAGTTTCATCTTGTTACCTTTGGCTTTGAACAGTCTCTTACTGGAATCTGAGGCCATTCCCTGTAGTCTGGGTCTTTTAGGGAAGTGGGCTTAAGGTTGCCACAAGTTAGGCTAAAAAGAGCAAGTCCCTGATCATCAAGGGTGGAGGGTGCAAGAACAGGGGGCAAAGAAAAACTGTGGAGTGATCTGTCCTGGCTGGAGACATACGGTGGTGAGCCAGCCCCTGCAGCTTCTCCCTTGCCAGAGCTGCTCACATTCACATTCCTTCTAGCTTTCTCTATGCCTTGGCCTTAGATCTTCCTTTTCTCTCACCTCTTATTCCCAAAAGGCATTCTTCCCCACACTCTCCCCAACAGCCTTCACCCCTTGTTCTGCCACTGTTCATCTCATTTTAGAGATCACATGTATGTGGCTGCCCTATTTCTGCCCTAAGTTCTGATCTTTAGTTGGGTTCTGCAGGGGTGGAAAAATTTTCCCTTTTTCCCTTCTAGGTTCTTTGGCTGATCTAATAATTAAATTGACATAAGACAGATTAACAGGAGAAACAAATTGAATTTCATAAAAACAGGGGGCCCACAGGCAAATTGGATAGTTGAGGCTTCTTTACCATCCTAGGCTGAGGAATGGGAAAGGGGCCTGGGGCATCTAACAGGAGAAGGGAAATTCACAGAACAGTAGGAAGAGCAGAAGTTTGGTTAGATATTTGCCCTGCCAGACAGATAAAAAGTTATCTCTGGTATTAGCCTTCTTTCTGGGCCAGGCCCCCTATCTAATATTTTTTAGGTGGTTGAGAGAAAGGTAGTTTTTTCTTGAGTCTGCTGTGTCTTGGTTGCCTTCAGCTCAAAATAATCTTGTGTGTGTGTGTGTGTGTGTGTGTGTCGGGTATGGGGCAGAAGGGTAGCTCTGAGATCCTGTTCTTCGTCTGAGTGGGAAGATGATCAGAGGAGTGAGTCTCCCTCTGGCTGATGAGAATCCTTTTCTTTGCTCTGTTCTCTGAGGTGAAGAGAGAGAGAGACTCAGCCCTGTAGCCTCCTAGTTTGGGGAAACTAATCTAATCTAGTTACCAGAAGGACCCCCATTATATTTCTGATTCTGGATCCTGCCCTCTGCTCCCATTGCCT